CCCCATAGTAATTTCGGTCTTACGATATTGTAATAAATGTTCTTATTTCGTGATATATTATATCTACTCGTATCATTTGTAAATTAATATTATCATCAATGTGTGACGTATATGCTCGTTTTCATTAACCCACTCACCTAGACCGTTATTCATCGAAAATTGTTAATGGATACGTGGGAGAAAGCAAGTTATTTACAGCCACATTTATCGATAAATAAGTTAGTCGTATCGTATCGAACCCTAGGGAAGACTTAACGTAACACCTTCTCAATAAAATATCATATAATATAATTTAATTTATTGTTAAAAAATAAAATTTAGAAATGAGTTTAAAAGTTATCTGAAAATTGTCAATTATTGTTAGAATATATATTAGGACCTTGAATAAGTTCTCGCTGTTTTTTTACAAAATAAAAACTTTATTTAAAATATAAGGAACAAAAACGTTTTATTGAAAGTATTGCCCATCACTAGAGACCACTTTCTCCCATCTTTCTGGCAGTATATGAATTCCGCGTTGGAAAAACGACATGTCTTTTGAGGCTATCCAAGAATCGACCCATTTTTTAGCTTCTTCGTAAGAATGAAAACGCTGGTCACCTAAGCCATGTGCTATCGACCGAAATAGGTGAAAACCGGAAGGAGCTATGTCAGGTGAATACGGCGGCTGGGGTAAAACTTCCCATCGAAACGTTTCCAGGTAGGTTTTCACTGGTTTTGCAACATGAGACCGGGCGTTGTCATGTAACAAAATCACTTTATCGTGTCTCTTCTCGTATAGCGGCCGTTTTTCTTTTAGGGCTCGACTCAAACGCATCAATTGAAGTCGATAGCGATCCCCCGTGATAGTCTCATTCGAGTTTGAGCAGCTCATAATAAATTACACCCTGCTGATCCCATCAAATACAGAGAAGAAGCTTCGAACCATGGATATTTGGTTTTGCGGACGATGTTGATGCATGGCCAGGCTTACCTTATGATTTTCTACGCTTTGGATTATCATAGTGTATCCATTTTTCATCGCCAGTCACGATACGGTGCAAAAAACCTTTTCTTTTCTGCCGTTGAAGCAGTAGTTCACACGTGACAAAACGCCAAAAAGCATGTCTCTTGGCTTCAATTTATATGGCAGCCAATGTCCTTGCTTCTGGATCATTCCTAACATTTTTAAACGTTTTGAAACAGTTGACTCATCAACTTGTAATGTTTTTCCAAGTTCTGCTAGCGTCTGAGATCAGTCTTCATCGAGTAAYTCCTCCAATTCTCTGTCTTGAAATTTTTTTGGTGCTCCARAACGTTCTTTATCCTCAAGTTCAAAATCATTATTTTTGAAGCGTCGAAAGCAGTCTCTCTATGTCGTATCCGACAGAGCATTGTCACCATAAGTCTCAACAAGAATTCTATGTGCTTCAGCTGCCGATTTCTTTTGAATAAAGTAATGCAATAAAATCCCCTGCAAATACACTTTAGTTGGCACAAAAGTAGACATTTTTAAAATTAATAAAAAATTATTTTGTTTACACTAAAGTAAACTATCATACACTGAAATTTCAGGTTAGATACAGTACTTCCTTGCAAGTGTGTTACCATTCGAAATTTCAAGCAAGGAGTACTGCTATTGCCATCTTTGATGAAACAGCGAGAACTTATTCAAGCTCCTAATATCACATAAGATGTACAAGATGTTTCGTAATATGTGGAATTCACTATAGGAGTAGTTAAGGGACCAACTTAGGGTAATCATTTTGAGCATCTTTTACGATAATAAGTTATCGTGAATTATTGAAAAACAAATGTGATTATAACTTTGAGAAATGTTCAAATAGGGCACATGTTTATAATTTAATTGTTTTGTATGTTTCTTGTTCATACTTGAAGTGGGTCCCACATATTGCAAACTATTCAAATTAAACTTATGTTAGACGGCCGTACTGTGAAGGCTTAATCTACATTTGAAAAAAGTACAAAAAAAAAAACACACAAAATGTTATGTAAAGTTTGTCAGAAAGATTGACAGAATTATGAATGAATTTTTTATACGTAAAATGAATAATTGCGGACTTTTTATCAGAGCACATTAGAAGGTTGACTGTGTTTACATGCATTATGTGTATTTTTATCACGTCATAATATGTCACTTTCGTTTCATTAATAAATTGTTACATAACATAATATTATATAATAAAAAATAAAAAAAAAAATAAGAAATGTTTAAAAATACACTTCAAAATGGATGTTCTTGTACTCGGATGTAAACTTGATATCGATTAATAATAAATTTAATAAACACAACGTATAATATATCAAAAGAATTTTCCTCAAGTATTTTCCTGAATGCTTTTTTAATTCTTTCAACTTGTTCATTCTATGATATTAATTTCTTTTGTATAAATATTAATTGTTTAAAAATATGTAATAAGTAAATATCGAGTGATGTAATGGTTGCATCAAGATTGCGTATACAAAATTCATTCATAATTCTGTAACACAACTTTTCCCAACGAACTTTACGTAATATTTTATCTTTTTCTTCTTTTTAAATGTAGATTAAGCCCACGCAATTTGACCATCTACGTTTGAAAAATTATTTATATTAATATATATTATACAATGTAATTATACTTTATTGCATATAAAAAAGAAAAATATAATAAAATTACAAATATTTGGGCATATCGTTTAAAATGAGATACCCGGCTACAATGTTTAAAGATAGATACTTTATTATTCAAAATTATTATTACTAATTAATTTTATAAAGAAAAAAAGAAGGAAAATATATGTGTTAAGTGTGATTTTAATCAAGAGAATCTACGTCGTTTTAAGAATCTAGCCCCTAGGAAAGAAAATATAAGTTAAGGGATAGGGTGAGTTTTCGAACTAACGATGCGTACGGAAATTTTGATCAAAGGCGAACGTTCGTGAAGCTCGGTTCGGTTAAGAAGAGAAAAAGAGAAAGAGAGAGAGAGAGAGACAGAAAGAGACAGAGAGAGTGAGAGAGGGGAGAAAAGGGGTGAGAAAGAGAGTGAGAAAAAAGTGGTGAGGGAGGTTAAAGGTGGACGAAGATCGATGTCGAGAATATAACTGTAAGCGATTTTGCCCTTTTCCTTTTTTTTTCTCGAATATCCAATATTATAGCAAATTTAACTAATAGTAAACTAAAGGTATAAAAAAAATCTACAAAAAATATATAAAATTTTATATCTGCTATAAATAAATAAAAATATAGATATTATTGCATAATTAATTGTTAAGATAATTATATTACGTTTGTATGTTTTATAACAAGCACACGTAACGTTAAATATAAATAATATAAAATATATATATTATATTTAAAAAGCCTATAAAATAAACAGTAACAAAATGTAATAGCATATATATATGTAAATATGTATTAGTAAAGCACAAATACTTTTAACATACCATACTCCTTTTTCTTCCTATATATATGTAAAGGTCTCCCTCCAACAACACTGTAGATAGTTTCCTAGAAAATACCGCGTTATTTGAAACCGTGTTGTTTGAGACCCAAAACTAATAAAAAAAGAGGGGTTACGTTCCGAAAACTTTTTAAAAACAAATATTTTTTTTTTTTAGGTGTAAACTTCTTTAGAATGGATGTGATTTGAAAAGATGTAACGGAGCGGTAGGCGGCGATGTAACGGAGCGGTAGGCGGCTGTGAAACAGAGTAGCTGGCGTCTATAAAACGGCCAAGATACTAAATAAAAAAAGAAAAAAAAAAACAAACATATAGGATTGTGCCTGCAAAAGAATGAGACAGAATAAAGATATACAATTTTTATTATTCTAAATCTTTGACTCGTAGTCCGCACCGCTCCGCACCGCATTCCACATATCGCATTCCGAATTCCGCATATAACATCCCAAATTCCGAATCCCAATTTCCGCATACCGAATTCCGCATCCCGAATTCCGCATTCCGCATTCCGGATAACACATACCACATGCAAAATAAAAAATCCCGATTTCCGCATCCCGAATCCGCATCCCGAATTCCGCATCCTAAATTCCGCATCCCGAATTACGTATCCTGGATTCCGCATCCCGAATTCCGCATCCAGAATTCCGCATTCCGCATCCCGAATTCCGCATTCCGATTTCCGAATCCAGAATTCCGCCTCCTGAATTCCGCATTAAGCATTCGCTCGTAATAACGGGGAACGTTTAGAAGCCTCGTAAAAGAGTCTTGTAAAAGAGCCTCGTAAAAGAGCCTCATAAACAAGCCTCGTAAATAAGCCTCGTAAAAGAGCCTCATAAACGAGCCTCGTAAACGAGCCTCGTAAAAGAGTCTCGTAAAAGAGCCTAGTAAAAGAGTCTCGTAAAAGAGCCTCATAAACGAGCCTCGTAAAAGAGCCTCGATATGGCTCGTTTATGATGAATGATGAATGATGAATGATGAATGAAACGCTTAACGCATAACACCTAACATGAAACGCTTAACAGAATAATACCAATAATTCGAATAAAATTGCAGAATAGTATTTCTAATTTTTTTAATAATGCATAAAACATTGGTACGTTTTGAATACGGACCTTCAGTTCTTTATACAGTCATATATCGTTAAGAGATAGTGATATATGTTTGTTCTTGATGCTGTATTGTCCTAACACGTTTCTTTGAATAATATATCTTTTGTGCACGTATTTGTAATTTAACTTCTCCTGAACGGCTGGACCGATTTTAATGAAATTTTTGTGTGTGTCTTCAGATGGATTCGATAAAGGTTTAGCGTTACAATTCGGTCCAATTTAAGCTTTTTATTTAATTAATTTTTTATTTATAAATTATTATGCGAAAAGTTTATAGATTGAAGAAGGAAAAGAAAGAACTATATAATTTTACTTTAAAAATATAAGTAATTTTTATTTCAGGTTCTAACATCTCTTTATGTTAGGTTGTTTACTCAATATAATTCTATTAAATAAATGGGCATATTTTGTGACAAGATTTTAGGCTAGGCAACTTGCTGTTTATGTAGAATTTGTAAAAGTGAATTTATACACAAGTTCGTAAGAAAGAAATATTCAAATTGTGCAACTATTTAACAAGTAAAAGAAACAAATTACCTCCTTCGCGTGCGTTAGATGATATACATGCATGTATAAATAGTATTTGCCCTTTGTATTTTGTAATAACATTTGAATTATTCAATTGCAGTGGAATCGTAGCCATTGATCTTATTATATCGAGTTACGGTCACACACAACGATCATAAATTTTTACATTTGACCTACATTAATAATTGCAACTTTAGGAAATGGACTATATTTTTTAATTATTATATTATGTCAATATATTACAAAGATGATATAACGTCATTGGCGAAGAAATAAACGTCATATCTGCAGGCAATAGATTCGTGAATATTTTCTTTTTTTTTTCTCGTCTTTTTATGTTATAGAATGAAAGATAATAATTAATTGAAATAAAAAAAAAAAAGTATATACTCCTATTTAAAAACAAATTATCTAGGTTTTTATTATATGTCATCCTTACAAAGATCTTTGTAAGAACGAAATACTTTGCATGCTCTTTGTTTCAAATTATTTTCTACGATATCTTTTACAATAACATCTGAATTGGTATTTTTAGGATTTATGACAACAGTCATAGATGCATTATTATCAGTCAAATTAATATGTTTCCTGCGTCGAGCAAAGATAATTACTTCAGAATCATCAGATTTCATTTCTTTTTTACTACTTTTAGTTGCTTTAGCCTTGACATGCATATTCTCATTATCTTTTTTATTTTCTTGAAGATCTATTGCTACAGTTTCTTCATGAGCTTTTTGTAATGATTCCTGTTGATGATTATTATCTTCTTTTTCGAATTTGTCAATAGAGGAAACATTATCCTTATTTAAACCTACTTTGGAAATATTAGGAACACGTTTATCTTCTTTTTTATCATTATTTTTAAAAACAATATTATTTTCTTGACTAATTTCCGAAGAATTCTTTGTATTACTTTTTAAAATATCTTCAGACAAGTTTTCAATATTACTGCGTGTACTATCAGATCCTTTAGCATTTTTCTGTAATTGAACAATTTTATCAACCTTAGATTTGTTTTCTTTGACAGTAACATTCTTAACATCGTTCTGTACATTGTTTGTTAATGTTACTGTAGTGTCCTGTTTGTTATCAACCAATGGAATACTCGTGTTTTCTGAACAAGTATTAACAGTTGTTGCAACTTTAGCTTTTTCAATTTGATGAATATTTTTATTATCTCCTAAATGTTCTCTATCTTTCTTTGTCAAACACGTACGCGTGTCCACTTTGTTAGCAGGCTTTAACTTATCTTCGAATTGATCGAAAGTAATCTTAGAAGAATCTTTACGAATTTCTACATTAACATTTTTCTCCGAGATCAATTTTGTATCATCTGTTTTGTTATTGAGATTAGATTTACTAGGAGATACAATTTCACCTTCTTCCAAAGAATCATTACTATCTGCTTTAATTGATTCATTTAACAAATCATTTGTTTTTTTCACAACATTTATAGTTTGTAATTCGTCTATTTTACCTTTCCTTTCGCAAGGAGTACTTTCACGATCTTCCGAGTTTCTATTATGTTTCGTATGTTTGGAATATTTTTTATCATCAGTTTTATAATTCGTCGATTCCTTAGTTTTACTTTTACTTCTTTCATGTAATACAGATTTAGTGTCATGTAAATTGGAAGATTTGTTTCCTTTACTTTTCGACGAATGACAATCCGTAGTGCCATATTTTTCATTAGATCTAGTTTTATCTTTATCTCTGTTTTTATCTTTGTGATCCTTGTTATATCGATCATCATGATGTTTATGTTTTCTGTTAGAGTGTTTTAAAACAGGCGATTTATTTCGTTTATAATTATATGTATCTTTTTCATGACCATGTTCGATACTATCTTTGAAATATTTGTTATGATCATTACAAAATTCTTGTACATTTTCTTTTTTATAATATGTGTTGTGTGATCTGGAATCTTTATCATATTTGTTATTATTACTAATATTTCTTTCTGTATGAGGATTATTATTTTCTTCATTATTTAATTTGTTTTTTGTACTCGTCATTTCGTGATTAAATCCTAAAAATACATTTTCATCAGAAATAGTAGTTTTATTTGTACACATATTTGGTTCAACATCTAATTTTTGACGTTTGCTAGAAGGAGTATCAACATTGCTCGACCTTTTCTTAGAATCTTTAATACTTGAAGCTGACTTTTGTTGATTTGTCGAACAAACAGTATTACTTTCTGTAATATTAGTATTATCTGTTAGATTACATATAATTTCTTTATTTTCTGAAATTGCATCATCCACATTTGAATTCAGTATACCAGGGTATGAATGATTTTCTTTGTCATCGTTATTAATATTTGTAGGTTGTTCATTCTTTTCTTGTAATAATAACTTTAGTTTCTTTTCCACTTCGTCTTCTTCCATTATCTTTTTACGGAAACGTTCTGTGTAAACTGTAGTAGTAGCAGTATGAGGTACTGGTAACTTTTTAGAAGAATACCTTCTATTACAAAATTGATTATTTAAATAATCGTAATCTTCTGCTTGATCCTCATTCAATTGATTAACATTAACAATTGCAAATTGTTGAAAATTTGTTTCGTAAGAATTACTTGCAACTGTATCATATTTATCGTTATTTGAATTTAAATTAGGTAACTTCGTCCTATCATTTTCAGCGTACGTTTTTGCATTATGATCGTGTATATTTTTTTCAGATAACTGCTGCACTGATTTGTTACCATCCTTTACATTTTTATTAAAATGACCCCTTCTTAAAGTCATATCGTCAACCCTAAACAATTATTATAATAAAGTTATTTAAATTATAAGTAATTATTCATTAATAAAATATATTTAAAAATATATTTACTGTTTCCTAAGTTCGGCTATCATTCTATCCTTACGTGAAATTTCAGCCTTTGCTGTTTTAAGCAGAGAAGATAAGTTAACCTCCAAAGTTTCCTTAGCCTTTTGGGAGTTTTCTAATTGTAATTTAAGTTCGCTAACTTCCTTTGTCAATTTTTCACATTTTTCAAAAATATCTTCATTACTTGGAAAATCCTAAAACAATATACATTTTTCAATTGTTATATTTCAAAAACAAGAGAGAGGGAAAGAAAATATGTAGAATAATATTTCAAAATGTATTACTGTTTCATCATTAAAACTGGGCAAGTCTTCATAAATGTCGATATCTTCGCTGTCCATTTTTTTTCTATATTTAATATTTTATACAAAATTAATATTATTTAATTTTTACAAATACCATAATGAAACATATTTCCAACCTGAAAATGTTGCTGCAGTGTGCAACTGGTTTTTTTACGCTGCCATCAGATGTCCCTGCAATCAGTTATGGACTAGGGACCTGTGCTGCCAGACTGTGCTGCCATATCGTGGGTAAATCTTACCCTCTCCCTGTGCCACTGGGATTGCACACAATGAAAGTTTTCCATGTCCGTGTGTTTGGGATGTCGAAAGAAGTCGAGTGTAACCGAAGTTGGCGGGCACGCCGGAGTGGCACACTATGAAAGCGACTCGTGTCCATGTGTTCGGACGACACACGGACATGGATAACTTTCATTGTGTGCAATCCCAGTGGCACAGGGAGAGGGTAAGATTTACCCACGATCTGACAGCACAGCTAGGGACCCTATAGGAGGGACGCGCCATGCACATTGCTGGGGGACAAAAACTCGTGTAGTCACGTGATTGCGCGCGAATGATTCAAAAATTTTAGTCTGTAAACAAACGATAAGCTATAGGTTAGGTTTGTACATTTATACTTGTAATTATTAAATGAGTAAATTAAACTTACACTTACTTAAACTTATTACAGGGTCCCTATTTCTTGTAAACTGACAACAAAATTCATAAAATTTGATTATCGCGGGTAAATTATGTAACCAATCAAAAACATGACTGTAATATGTACTTAATATAATTTATTTTCTTGAACAATATTTTAATTTATTATTATATTAGAGTTAAGAAAATACATTTAGTTTCTCCTTTATCTTTTCCTTTGTATATATTTATAAATAATGTACTTTTTATTTTGTGTATCTATCGATAATAAGATTGATCGATATATGTCAACTCGATGAATAAAATCGAATATGTATATTACGTCCACCATGAACCATAAAAATCGAACGACTAGAACGATATTAACCTATTCGTACGATCAGCTGTCTTTGACATTAGATCCTATGAAAACATTAGTAAGGAAAAATGTGAATTATAAGTTTTTATATAGAAATAGTGAGATAGAAGGAAATAATGATCATTCATGATGATTGAATAACACGAAAATGAGTGAAATAACAATTGTACTATAAGATAAATTGAAATGGAGGTTATTAAGGCGGAATTTGATGTGCCAATAAAATATATGAAAGTTGTAGATAATAGAATAAGTTTGACAGTACATCGAAATTGGTTGGCAAATTTTTTTAATACTGGACCAATATCGTTTATCACTCATGATAAACTCACACCGGATGAAATTGCAGCACAACCTACGTTAGAAGAATTAGGATCTGACTGGACTAAAATTTATGCAAAAGTATTTTCTTTTTTCTTTTTTTTTACTCCTTTTAGATTTCATTAGACAAAGTTTAATTAATGTTTATATTCATTTTAGGTCTATATAAAACAATATAAAAATGCTATTCCTCTTCCTAGAGGTAGACGTACAATTAATACCAAAACTCAAACAGAGCTGACATTCTCGCAGTTATTACATTATCTTTCAGAAACCAACTATCGCAATTTATGGAAAGAATCTTACAAAAAATATTATAGTACGATCGTAGTTATTTTTTGATATATTATTTGTCTAAGGATTTACTAAATATCAATTTTTATTTATTATTTGTTGACAGATCCATGGAGTACTATTGAACAGAAAGAACAATCTATTGTAACTTTTAATACAACTGATGTAACTATTATGCAAGAAGTAATAGCACGAGTATATGGTTGCAGTTTAATACATGTACAAGATAAAATAGTTTATTCAGTATCATCTGGCCTAACAACCGAATCTCATTGTAACCTTCTTCCAGCACTTTTTGCTGTCGAAACAGTTAATGCTTTCATCATTTTTTATGAACAAACTGCAAAATATTCTCTCAGAGAGTAAGCATTAATACAACGACATTTACATAATTTAAAGCAATAAGTGTTTTAATTAATATTCAAAAAATAATGAAAATTGTAGATGTGTAATGTATAGTCCAGCAGCCTTGAGTACAAGTCATGGAAAACCATTGTTTTTAATTTATCAACTATTGAGATTATCTAGAGATTTACATGATCTTGGATTAGTATTAGGTGAAGTGACACTTAGTGATATTTTGCTTATGGAAAATTTTACTATTCAGGTGAAATTATATCTTCTTATTTATTTGATGCATTATCATTTTATTCGAGTAGTGTGTATTACCATTTATCAAAAACTATACTCTGTAAATGATAATAATTACATTTATATTTATATTTAGGTAATACCAAAGTTAAGTGATAATATTTATTTAAAGCCAAAAGCAGATTGTATAAATTTTACTACTACTACTACTACTGAAACAAATAAAGAAAAAAATCACAATTTGTATAGTAAAAAGCGTGATTTAAATTTATATAAAAATATACAATATGGTAGTCCTGAATTTGGTATAAATGAGAGTATTGAAAAGTTGTGTGAAATGTGGGTGTATAACAACATCAGTAACTTTGACTATTTAACTGCTCTTAACAATCTGGCAGGTAGAAAATATGGTGATCCTAGTTGTCACCATGTTATGCCTTGGGTAACAGATTTTACATCAAGATGCGGTGGTAATTGGAGAGATTTAACCAAATCCAAGTTTCGTTTAAATAAAGGAGATAGACAATTAGATCTTACATTTGATTCACAATCCACTGAGGTAAATAACATGTATAAATATTAATTTCTTTGACATTAATATAAAAGGAAATACACATATATACGTATATTTTTAGGTAGGACATCATGTATCGGATGTATTATCGGAAATAACATATTATGTATACCTTTCTCGTCGTTATGATAAATCTGTTCTTTGTAAACACGTACGACCATTATGGGTACCAGGAGAATATCCTGCATCGATTCAAAGATTACATGATTGGAGTCCAGATGAATGCATTCCGCAATTTTTTATCGATGCAAGTGTTTTTAAGGTAAATTGATAAAAATTCAACTTTTCAACAATATTTGTAGAAATATTAATAAAATACAATGATATCATTGTTTTATTAACATGATGTTGTATCTTTTACAGTCCATTCATGAAGATTTACCAGATTTAGAAATACCAGCTTGGGCGACTTCTCCAGAAGATTTTATCCAAAAACATAGAGAAGCTTTAGAGAGTTTTTATGTATCAGAAAGATTACATCATTGGATAGATCTAACATTTGGTTACAAGTAAATATCTTAGTTAGTATTCTTATAATTATTATACGCATTAAGAGATTTTTAGTAAATAACATATATTCCAATAGATTGTCTGGTTCTGCAGCGATAAAATCAAAAAACGTTTGTTTACAACTTGTTGATAATCATACTACTTTAACAAATTCTGGTATTGTGCAACTATTTACTCAACCTCATCCACAAAAAATTATGCCGTCCCCATATTGGGGTAAAGTACCTCCTCGTTTGCGTTCATCTTTATTAATTAGCAAAAGTAAGTATTTGATATATTTTGTTTAATAAATAGTTTAATAAATCTTGATATAATTAATGATAGATAATAAAAATAATCAAACTTATAGGAACAGAAACATCTGGAGGTAAAACTAGTGATGATGAAGGTCATAGTTCTGGATTAGAAGAAGAAGAACTTCCAGTAACAATATCAAATACATCACGATCATCGCCTCTAGCCTTAAGTCGATTTTTAAGTCGTTCTCGAGGTTCTCTTCTTGCAGTAGAAGATAATACTAAATCAGACAAAACCTCAAATCAAATGATAATCCTTCCAAAGGATTACAATCCTGTTGCAGCTATACAGCATGTAGAAACAATGCATACTTTCATAAACAAAATCAGTCATAAGGTTTATAAACCTGTAATAGGCTCACAAGAATTGCCTATAAATTATAAACAGATAGTAGCCAGTGGCCGCATAAAAGAACAACAAATATTAGGCTGTTTAATAGTTGAAATATTTCTTTCTGGTAAATTTCGAGCTACATGGAATATTGAGAAATTATCATTTGCACTAAGATTAAGTGCATGCTTGAATGTTATCAAATTATCTGCAGATAGTTTACCAAAGTGCATAAGAAATGCTGTATCTTTACTTCTGCAAGTTGATGTAGTACCAAAAAGTTATAATATAGAAAGTACAGAAGTGAGTACTAAAATATTTTAACCCTTTGCACTCGAGACTATTTCACAACATTTTTAGTGAATTTCTCATCACCAACTTAAAATCATTTCACACAATAATGAAAGGATAAAATTTGTATATTTTAATATTTAATGTATCTTTACATCTTTACGAAGATAATTTTTTAAACATTAGCTTTATAATTTTGCTTTCTATGATATTTCATGTAATAACAATTGCCGGGGTTATTTTTTTGAGAATAGACTTTGCAATTCTTCCTAACTCCTGTTAGAATGTTATGGTGAACGAGAGTCACCTCTGGAGTGCAAAGGGTTAAGTTTAATTACTTCAATAATATTATATTCTATGTATACCTTTTTGTTTAGACAAATGAATCGTCTTTCCGATATCCAACTATTACACACATGGGTTTGCCACCACCGTCTGCTCATCAATTTTTGCAGCCAATACTTTCTGGTAGTCTATTCCCATTTTCTAAATATTGCCAATATTTATATAATGTAGTTGAGATGATACAGGAATACAATAGTTTAACCCGTGAACTAAACCTTGTATTAAAATTTGAAGAGGATCCAGATTTTGTAATTAAGACAAAAATAAAATATCTTTGTAAAATTAGTGAATGCAAAGTGAAAGCAGTAGCAAGAGAATTAGAACAATTATTACCACATATTGGTGCTGCTAAAGAAGGTAGTTTACAATTAATAGTACCGCATATACAGCAACTTATGAAAGAACCATACAGTGCAGTATTGACTACTTGGCATCTTTTTGATCCAATTGCTAAGTAAGCATAATGTTTGTCAATTAATAATATAATGTTTTTGGTAATATGTAAATTGATACAAATTTTTTTATACTAAATTTGGTAAATGTATATGTTCTAGGGCATTGGGTCCAAAAGAAACAGCAGATATGTTTCTTTTACCTATAATGAAATTGTATGAAAATGGCTCTGTTATGGACAGTTCACCACATGCAGATATATTACATCCTGCAACACTTGTGAAATTTCGAACAACATTATTATATCATAGAAACTTTTTACTAATACTTATGGTCAGATTAGGATTGCGACGATTCTTAGATAATTTTATTACGTCACTTGTAGAAGCAGTAGGCGGTTATCGGGATTATGTTCAAGGATCGTGTCTAAGTGTGCATAGAACAGGAAATTTGAAGTAAGTGTTTTACCTACTATAATTTTAATTTTAAAGAATGATAAAAGAAATCATTTATTAATTATTATAATATTATTAAAAAAAAGGAGTTGTGATCTAAGTGGAACATGTGGTGACATTGAAGGCGTTTTATCTCCATTAGATGAAGACTCTTCTGCAGATTCAGAACATAATATAGCATCTTCACCTGCACCTGCAACCAGTGATTATTCTCAAAACAAATCTGCAATTGACAATGATGCTGAAGGTATTTTTCTTTTTGTAAATATTTAATTATTAATTTTGTATTCTGTTAATGATGATATGAAAAAATTATTGTATTATTTTATAGAAGTGTTTGCTATGGAAACAGAAGGAAATGCATGGAATTTTCTGAGTACCAGTCGTTCATATAACATTGATTTACATATGGATTTAAATTTAAATCTTAATGATGATTTGAATGAAGAAGAAAACAAAGTATCCCCACCAAGTTCAACTAAATCACCAACAATTCCAATACCAAAACATTCAGGAAGTGGAAAACTTATGATAGAAGTTAATAGCATAGGTTGTGATGTTGGAAGTAAAACATCTAATGAAGATATTTCTTATAATGAAACATCTGGAGCTATATATTTTGGTAGTAATGCTTCTGACAATGCTAGTAATACATATCCTGAAGAACCAAATTCTATTACTGTTAATCAAACTACCTTAACGGATGATAAGTCTAATACAGCAGGACTAAATAATACTGATAATGAATATGATCAGGCATATCAAAGATCTGCAAGAAATGAATGTACAGTATCAGAGATAAGTGCTGAGTCTGTAATATGGTTGTCTCATCGTCTTGGACCTGTACTTACAGCTCGATATTTATCACGAAATTTATTAAGAATGCTTACTTTATGTTATGCTGGTAAAGAAAATTTAACACCTTCAAATGATGTTACATTAACGTCAGTTCAAGGAATTGATTGGAAGAAGAAAATTTTAGTAGGTGATGATAACGCTGCCAAAGTATTAGATTGTTTAACTGCTATTGCAGGTTTGTAAAAGAACATATTGCAATAAAATATTGCAAACTGACATATTATACATTAATTGAAACATCTCTTTTGATAGGATTATATGGAGAACAGATTATACTTCTGCAATATTTTGCTCATATGGCAGAACTTTTAACATTGTGTAAAAAAAAATTGACACAAAATTTAGAAGGTGGACTCCTTTCTTGTTTAGCCCTACTCAATCATATTACGCAATACTTAAGTGATTCTGCCTTAATGGATGCACTTCATGTAAAGTATATTTTATGATGTTATTAACATTAAGATAATTTATTATTAACATAATAATAAATCTCATTTTTTATGTTAAAATATAGGAATCTATTGTTAAGGCAATTTTGCATCCTACTGTTCGTATATTATCTACTACGAGATTTACTTTCCCTAATGGAGTTATTGCTCGTACAGCTTTGGCTGATAAATGTTTAGAAGCCATGATCATGCTTAGTTTAAGATTAGGTAGCGCTGTTACAAAAAACCATTTAGCAGTACCAATACAACGATTTTTCCTTGCATTTGATAAATCATTCAGTCAAAATACTAAGGTAGATCATCTGACAGATGATCTTGGATTGAAAGATTTAAGTTGTAGCCACGCAAGCAATAGTGGCGTAAGGTAAAGTATTTTATTTATTTTTTTTTTTTTCAAATATTTATTGATAACAATTACAAGAAATAAAATTGTAACAAATTGTTATATGCATTTGTATAATATACTTTTTTTTTTTTATAGAATAAAAACTTCTAACGAAGATACAAGTCATGGCAGTTCTCAAGATTGGAATGTTATTGAAACTTGTGTTTCTGGTTCTCCTTTGATATGGGATGGTTTTAATGTAGAGGCTGAATCTTATTCTCCACCAGTTATAGACAATACAAATTTACCAGATCTTCAGAGAAATAAAGTAATTACATAAATGTTTTGCACTCTTTACAGTTAAAAACAAATTTTCTTATCCTTTAATATTTTTTTTTTTTTTTTTTTAGGCATTTGAAGAGTTAAAAGAAGTATTTACTACAGAATTTGCACATAAAGCATACATGCTATTTTACAAATGTATGGGTTCTGAAGCAATGGAACACATTCTTAAAAATCACCAACATATACGTAATCTTTGCCATGAGTATGAACAAGAAACGCGATTGTCTTCACCGAATGTTGGTTCGGAACATTATGGTGCACCATGTCTATTAGATTATAGTATTTCAGAAAGTATAGAATCTTTGGACAAGGATGTAAATAGTTTTGGGAATATATCTGTGGTAGGAAATAGGTTTGAAATACAGAAAGATGACAGTCGATCTCAATCAATATCTGACACAACTATTTATCCAAATAAGGAAATTTATTCTTCATCTAGTGGAAGACAGTTACGTGGAAATTGGTTGGCATATTGGGAACATGAAATTGGAAGACCTGATAAAGAAACAGCATTTAATATAAAACAGATAAAACTCCAAAGTTTTGGTGGACACAATAATAGTATCAGATGTTTATACGTTTTAGATAATGAAAATAGTTTTATGAGTGGAAGCAGAGATAAAACTGTTAAATTGTGGAGTTTAAGAAGTCAAGTAAGTATATTTATTTATTTTAATATACTTTATAATCATTAATTTCATATGTCATTAACATTTATGAATTTATTATATTATAGGGTGATGGAAGTACAGTTTCATCATGTCAATACACATACACTGGTCATAAAAAATCTATTCTTGCATTGACATTCCTAGAATCTTTAAGATATGCGATTACTTGTGATGGTGCCATTCACTGTTGGGATCCTTTCATGGGTTCTTTATTGGGATATCCAGAAAATAATCGACTGGCACCTATAAATACCTTAGCTGCAGGTCCTTCTCCATCAACTAACTTGTTTGTTGGAACGACTGATATTACCTTAAGAGTTATTGACTGTAGAACATTCCAATATGTCAATGAAATGAAAGTTAGTGTTGTAATAATTAATAATCATATATAAATATTTTGTTCTATACATATATATATGTAGATATATGTGGTCATTTTAAATTGTAGGTGTTAACAAACCCTACTGGTTTAATCAGATGCATTGCAGTTGCACCTAGTGGCCATTGGATTGCATTAGGTCAAGCATCTGGCTTTCTAACTATTTTAGATATTAGAACCGGCCTTATTATTGCATCTTGGAAAGGTCATGAATGCGAGGTAATTTTTACATAATACACCCTCATCAATATAATGTATTAAAATGTTATTATGGAAAAGTGTTGATATTTTTAATATATATTGTTTTTATTGCAGATATTGCAATTGCAAGCTGTAAATGAAACTACTATAATTAGTTCTTCATTAGATCAAACTATTGCAGTGTGGAGTGCATTGGATGGTAAACTGAAGTTTCACATGAAGTAAATATATATATTTCAATATCGTTAAAATTTGCTAAATATATTAGGAAATAATATTATATATTATTAAATATAAGTTTCTACGTTTTTAGAGGTACTACTGAGCCAGTTCATTGCATGGCAACTTATGAACGAGGATTGGTAATAGGAACAACAGCAAATCGAATAGGAGTTTATACTTCTATAGATGCGAATGCTCCATTTTCTTCATCAAAGCTCAAATCCGATGCCTTTAAAGGAGTCCTTACTGCTATTTCCATACTTCCTCTTAATCGATTATTACTGCTAGGTGCAGATAATGGAGGGATAACATTATTGTGTTGATCTTAGTAACATTGAATAATGTACATTGTCGAGATATTACACCCAACAACTATACGAAGAAAGGCTGAATAAATGTCAAAGATGCAAGAATATAAAAAAAAAAATAATTGATATTAAGAAGAATTTGGATCTATATAATAAATATACTTTTTACAAGAAGATATTAAATAAAACATATTTATTATTCATAGATCACATCTGTTCTTGACTGAATTATTTTTATAGCAACATCGGGAGATATTTTATGAACACCAACATCTGCGAGTATTTCCTTTGCAGTATCTTCATCACTTGCATTGAGTGCATCCAGAAGTAACATTGCAGATCCTACTAATATATTAAGTAAAACACAAGCCTCTTTGATTCTGAAAAATAATTAGTTATTTGTTTAATCTTATCTATATGTAAATATATCGTTAGCATATTCTTGAACATTCTTCACAAGCAAACTTACAATGGGAAAAACGATTCTGGTTTGTTTATATATAAGCCAAAAAGGGGGAATAAATTTCTAAAAATATCATATTGTAACTGTTCTGCACCTCCTGTATTAAAATGATTTACCAAGACAACCTCCTCTAAGAGAAACTATAAATTAAAATATAAATCCCATAATTAATTGATTCAAATATTATTATAATATACACTTAAACTATAATTTTAAAATACACGTTTGTTATAATATTCATACCTGATCAAATTGAAAAGCTAACTGTTTCCAAGCTTGATGAAATAATGGTAAAGTAAGTGCTTCATGTAATACATGAAGTCTTGTACCTAATTCTTGAAACATGGGACAACCACTAGGGGTTACTGACAATGAAGCAACTTCTTTTGAAGATTGCATTGCAAACCATCTACAAAAAAAAAAAAAAATATAAGTTTACATAATATAATATTAAAGTGTTATTTATTTTTGAACGAGTATAGAGAATATTTTAATTGCATATATACTTTTGAAAAATGAAAAAACTTACTTATCTGTTCTATAAGGTCTACTTTTTGCTTTTACATCCAAAGCTACTGAATCACTGATTTCATTAATTAACTCTTTTTCTAGTCGCCGTAATAAAGCAACAGCTTCGTCAAATACAGTTCCTTCTATTTCTCCAATATGTTCAGTAACATCTTTACCTTCATCTGTAGCATTCTCTACTGCTTCAAATTGTTTTTTGAAGAAATGAAGTTGCAAAAAGTGCTACGTACATAACAGCATTTTCTAATAAATAAATACAATTATTCTATTTTATTTGAATGATATTATTATACATACCACAGTAACACCCCATTCCTCCAAAACATTAGCAACATAATGTAATGTATTAAGTATACATGGCATAAGAGATGCTAATGGATCTACACAATCTTCATGTAACAATTGTAATAATCTTACTCTCCAATCATCAATTAATTCTAATTGTAATTCAAGAAACTGTAATCTATATAAATTATATTTATTTATGTTACTGAATTTTGCAATGTTTTTTTGTTTTTTTTTTTCTGAAAATATTATATTTTATTACCTGTGTCCAGGTTGAGGTAAATGTTTGTATCTATCGGAAATTGTTGTTAAAAGTGTAAGAAAAGCACTAGCACATTCTGTTTCTTTCATGTCATTAGTATCAGGTCCTAGTAGAATTTCCCAGGCTGTGTTTGAAATTAATATTGCATCCATTTTTTCTGTAGCATCTGCGTTAAATAGTTAAATAAAATATATGATACTTAACAATATTAATTAAAACATACAAAAGTTAAATAAATATAATTCTTGCTTACATTTTTTCTCCATATTAATCCATTTTACAAATATATGAGCTTGAGTTAATACAAATACAGTAGCTGGTTGAGAAGAAGGATATAATAATGTTTCTCTAAGTTCTCTTTCAAAGCCAAGAGCTTCATCTACCAAATGGGCAAATAAAGCATCATCGTATTGCGCTATTGCTAATTCGGAATGTAATTTTTCAACAGCTAATTGTACCAAAGCACGCATAAATTCAGCCTAATATGTGAAAATATTAATAGAACTTAATCAATGACAAAATTATACGTAGGTTGAAACTTAAATAGTGGCAACTATTTATACAAAAGAGTTACATATTTGCACCTGTTACTGTCCTTCAAAGTAGTCACCAGCGTTGTGTAGAACCCGTCAGCAGAGCCTGTTCTGTTGATGGTGCGAATGGAACGGTCTACTGCCATGTCTCATCCAGTGTTATGATACGGCGTAAGAAAGCCTCTCATTCGCGCTCATATCGCTCCAAGTGCGTTTGAGCAGCTTCGTAACGCATCCATTTCTGCATTTTCGTCAATTCATGCGAAACCCATCGTAGCATTCGCTTCAGACCGCTCAATTCGCACCATCAACAGAACAGGCTCTGCTGACTACTTTAAAGGACAGTAACAGGAGCAAACATGTAACTCTTTTGTATCAGTTGTGAATAAATAGTTGCTACTATTTAAGTTCCAACCTACGTATTTACATATTATGAGTAATGTACCTTCACATTTATATGACTTAGCCCAATAGAATCTGCCACAGGTTGAACATATTTTTGTACCCATTGAACATGATCTTTAATCCATGTGAGTACCTGAGTAAAAAACCATTCTGGTTTATCTTGCCGATTTGTCAATTTACTACCTGTAAAATGATAAATAAACCTTTGCCTCAATGGGCGCACTAGTAGTGTAATGGGTAAGCACACAGGTGCAAAATCAGTCAGAAGAGCAGATGTTACCACAGGTTTTATAGTTTCATCTCTATTATTTTGTTAAGGTTTTAAAGATAATATAAAAATGTGAAATAGAAACAAATAGATTACGTTTATTAAGATAAGGATACGGTAATTCTAGATGTAACAGATATTCTGTAAGTATTTTAAATCTAGTAATAGTCTCAGGTAAAGGTGTAATTATTGTGTTTGCATTAGTTCCACAGAAAGGCCATTTCAGACTTTTTAAAACATCATTATATTCCCTATGATTAAGCTATTTGTATTATCTGTTATAAATTAAAAATGTAGGAAATGTTATATTTAGTGACTTACTTTGATAATTTTTCTTTTATCAAATTATGATAAAAATGTAATGTCTCTTTCACATAATTTACAAGGTGGTGACAAGACGATGTTTGTAATTGGCAACTAATTTCAGTAAGATTTGTATACAATGTGATAACAGATTCATCATCGGCTGACAATAATGCATTTTCCATTTCATTACTAAAAATATACATATACTTAAGTATAGTTTGTATAAATTTATATATATATATATAAACTATTGTTATATTTTATTATTACCTGATATCCTCAATACATTTTATAAAATTGAGATATGATAGGCACTTATCTAATTGACCTATCTTATCAATAACTTCTTGTACTTCAGAATTTTCACTATTTTCTTTCATTGACTCTTGAATATTATTGTGAATTTCCATTGCAGACATTTTTAATTTCTCAAATTCTACAGAAACATGTTCTACACTCTCTACAGCTGCTTTGACTTTTGAAGGTGCTTCGCTTGAGACCATGGATAACTGTAAATATAATATACATATAATTCTTTATATTCGTACATAATAACATGTTAATAACATTAACATTACTTAGACTGCAAAAATTCATGCATACAGATTTTTCAATATCATCCTTTTCTGCTTGAAGGCATTCATGGAAATTTTTAATATTTTCAAGTCCCTTTAAACTTGATCCTATCTTTTCGTTGAATCTTTGTATGACTTTTTCTTTTATATCCATTATGACAATAGCCCATATGCGTACTTTTTTACAATTACAAATAATAAATTAGATTAATTATTTACACGATTATAATTCATACTATTTTATAATAATAATAACACTGTTGTTTTGAAATAAAATTATAACATCTGTCATTTAATAACGATCTGTCATAGTTTATTATGATTACATGGAATAGTTTTTCAGAATAGATACAATTAATAATTAAAATATATACATATACATATATATATATAAAGTTTTTCCAGTCTATAACTATGTTAATAAATAAACATATTAAACAGTCAAACCAGATCGTAGAACATTTCTACCCCTTCTCTCGAGCCCAGCACGCCTCGCACACAACGAACTGTTACGTGTCGGTATGTCGGAAAACCGAAAGAAGCCGAGGGAAGCCGAGGTTAGTTGCGCAACAGAGGAGAAATAGTACCCCCATCACGCGCCGCGGAGAAATCATCATGGACACATAACACATATGAACACACATATACACATTTACACATATATTGTACAATGTGTATTGTGTCCATGTATTTCTCCGCGGCGCGTGGTGGGGGTATTATTTCTCCTCTGTTCGCGCAGCTAACTTCGGCTTCCCTCGGCTTCTTTCGGTTTCTTGACACACCGACACGTAACATTTCGTTGTGTGCGAGGCGTGCTGGACTCGAGAGAAGGGGTAGAAATGTTCTACGATCTAGCTTCACTGATATTAAATTATTTATGCTTATTTAGAAATAATGATGAGTAATCACGCTACACAAGTAAATTTTTAATAATAAACGTGTGAATGAATCTCAATATGCTCACTCGACCAATAGAATTCATGTATCATTTTAATTTTTCATCCAATCATCGTTGCAAATTCAATCAATATTGTTTTCATGAAAATTGTGCCTTGTTTCTTTCGATACTGCGCGAACGCCGTCAAATGTATACCGACAAGTGGACAAATGATCGCGGTATATTCACAGAGTGAGATTTAGCGAGGTTCGCGCTACCAGTGGAGATAATTAAACGAAACGAATATATCAAATATAAGGCATAGAATTGTCGTGCGATTTCTTTGAATAGAAAAACCGCACAAATGGTGCGTCTACCGCAGATAACATATGCCAGACTGTTGAGATCTTGCGGAAAGGTCTCCTAAGGGGAGCGCCTTTGACAAGTGGTTCTACGTAAGACGACTAGATATTTAAAACTTTCAAAATGGCAGAAAATCAAGGGAATTCCTCGAATCAAACTAACTCAGGTATTCTTATTCTAACTATGAGTATTTGGTATGAGGATACGTTGATCCTAACCTAAGCGTTGTTGTTACTAATGCGAATTGATCGTTCTATATATGTATACTCACTTTTACTTTGTTGTGATTCGTTCATAATGTTGTTTATATTATTAAAACTTTATTAGATATATATATATATGATAAATATTTCAGGTTCTGGCAGATCATTTAATTTTCAACGGCTGGACTTTAGATCAAATAATGATATTCAAAATGAAATGTCTGGTATGTATTTTTTTATCTAATTCATTTAATTTTAAATAATCATATACATATTGTTTTTTTTTTGTTTTTTTGTTTTTTTCATTTATATTGATATCTTAATTTATCAGAGAAAAGAAGACAACTGAAGTTATGTTCTCAAACGCAAGGAAGCAATCTGTCATTTGCCAATTCAACTAATTCCTCTCAGACAAATTCAACTGGAACCTCTGTACGACCACCAGTGTATGTAGTAACAAATTTGACAAATGTTCCTTTGTAAAATTTAAAAACATTAGGACTTTATCTAATTTGACGTTGAATGGAGTCATCTGTAACAGAAAAAAAAAAAAAAATAATTCATTTGCATTTATAATCCATAAATAATAAATATGTTAATATTTGAATATTACAGATCATCGCGTCCAAGTCTACCTTTGCCTCTACCTAAGTTGCCAGTTAGACCACGTACAATGGTATTGCAGCAAGATTTTCTTCCTGATAAAGCAAGGTAATGAAATACAGTTTTATGGAATCTAAAAATTAACAATTATTAACGTTGATTTGGATTAAATATTACAGAGATAAGTTGCGAATGTGTCAGTCTATGCAAAGTACTGGAAAATTGCAATTAAATCCAGATGTGGTATATGATTTCACAAGCGAGGATCTTCAAGATTTAGGAGAAATAGGCAGAGGAGGATTTGGAACTGTAAATAAAATGATACATAGGATAAGCAATACTGTTATGGCTGTGAAGGTATGTGAAGAACCTTTGTTGTTTTTCAAATTATACGTACAATATTTATATATTGATATTTCGAGATCTTATTTGCAAATTTCATTATTTTGGTTAGAGAATACGTTCAACGGTGGATGAAAGAGAACAAAAGCAATTATTAATGGATTTGGAGGTTGTAATGAAATCCAACGAATGTCCTTGTATTGTGCAGTTTTATGGAGCTTTATTTAAAGAGGTTTGTTTTAGTAAACATTAGTATACGTATGCGTTCATTTTGATAATTATTAATGATGTTATTATTATTATGATTATTTAGGGAGATTGTTGGATTTGTATGGAGTTGATGGACACCTCTTTAGACAAATTTTATAAATTCATCTATGAGAGATTAAATGAGAGGATACCCGAATGTATTTTAGGAAAAATTACAGTAGCTACAGTAAAAGCGTTGAATTACCTCAAAGAAAAATTGAAAATAATTCATAGAGATGTAAAACCTAGCAATATTTTACTTGATCGTCGTGGCAATATAAAACTTTGCGACTTTGGTATATCAGGACAACTAGTAGACTCTATCGCACGAACTAGGGATGCTGGTTGTAGACCATATATGGCAGTAAGTGTATATTTTATGAATCGTTAATTTGTAGTTATGATCGTTATTACAGGCTTATGTTGTTATTGTTTCAGCCGGAAAGGATAGACCCTCAGCGGGCAAGGGGTTATGACGTAAGAAGCGATGTATGGTCATTGGGTATTACTTTGATGGAGGTTGCCACTGGTTACTTTCCTTATCCAAAATGGAATTCCGTTTTTGAGCAACTCTACCAAGTAGTACAGGGTGATCCACCTCGCCTATCTCCCAACGAAAATGGAAATCATTTTACAATGGATTTTGTTAACTTTGTTAATACATGGTATTATGTCTTTTATATATCATTTTTTAGCATGATAAAGAGATATTATCCTACACATATCCTATCTTGTATTATTCGCTTTTTAGTCTAATCAAGGAAGAAACTCAGCGACCGAAATATAACAAGTTATTGGAGCATACATTTATTAGGAAAGCAGAAGAAGCCACTATTGACGTTGCAGCATATATTAGTGGCGTTTTGGACAATATGGCTAACAATGGAGTAACACCATTTACCACCAATCAGCCTTAAAGCGATTAGGCGAAAATGTGCATCCCTTCTTGGAGCATTGGGTTTTCTTTCTTTTTTTTTTTTTTTTTTTTATTGTCATTTGAACTCCCACTCTGATTTCTTGTAAAGAGCGGGTCACTGCACTCGAATCTAGTGTAGTTAGTAAAATTCATTGATGACGATATTTATTGGCGCCACTATCTTGCTTAGAGCTATACTGTGTCGCAAAGAATATTCTTACGCATAGTGAGTAGGGATGTTTCAACAATTGACTTGCCATTCTATCAGTAAGTAACCTATTGAATGGAAGACTTAAATTTTAAACTTTTTAAGATCGTGTTACGAAAGATCGTTAACACGTTTCTATCTTTTTCTCCGGAACTTCCATCCTTAGCGAAAGATCACAATGCCTTGTCTGCTTTCGTTTCGAATGAAATTCTTCTTCGTCTTGGCAACGCCAAGTGATTTTCGCTCGATCCCATCGCGGATCATATGTGTATATACATATAAATATATTGATAGATATAACCGTGTGTATATACATATAATTGTATCTCGCCTAACGTTTCATTTCCACAAATTTTTGTAAGGAGCGTAACGAGCTCAACGGAGAATAATATAAAAAGGTAAATTCGTCAAGGAGGTACTGAAGAAGGTGCCTACTCCACCCAATTGCCGGTGGGTTTTCTTAGAACAGGTTTAAGTATTAAACGTTCAATGCGGTGGTAGGAGTGATGTAATGCAAGAGAAATAAATCATTGAAACTCGCAGTAGAATGACGTCTTTTTCGTTACTATCTACTTATCTACCTGCGGATGTAGCCCGTATGTCAGTAATTTGCACCTTTACGGATATCTTCTCGATAAAAACGGCGGATCCACACTATTCGTAAAGAAAGGCTGCGGGCTCAGCTGTGGATCTTGACCCTTGTCTATATTCTAACATTTCTTATGTCTTGTAGACTGAACGGTTTTTAACTATTGAGTTACTCGATTAAATAACTATACCTTTATTTGTCTTCATATGTGTTCTTCTTTTTATTTACGTTCAATTCAATCTAAATTAGAAATACATCATAAACTAATGCTTTAAACGTTAGTTTAACTAAAAAACTTTAAAACACTTTGAAATATGTAATATTATTACAACTAAAAATCATATGCCCCGCAAACTCACAAATTTTACTGATTCAGAGCAACGTTATTAAGCAATCCGTAGTTTTAAGAAAAAAAAAAACCAGAAACGTTATTGCGCTCTTCGGATTTTTGGCATAAACAGTCAAGCGGTTAATTAATCATCTAAGTGGTTTGGGAGGTATGTCAAAATGCTACGAAGAGAATGAAAATGTAAGAAAATATTTCTTATTAATTAATGCTTAAGTGATTGCAAAATTTTGCAAATTGATCCATTAAGTCATTTGAAAGTTATTGCAATTTAAAATAATTGTTATTTTACATGTGGTTTTATGACGATTCAATTCGATAAGACAGATCATTTCTTATTTAATCTATAATATGTAAAACGCTGTGTAAAACCGTAGATATTAACAAATTTGAAATGTTTGAATATTTTTACCACAAATTATACCTCCTAAACATAAATGCTGATTGTTTCATTGTATTACGTTGTTGTATAAACCATGACTAAGAAAAGCACAATCAACAATCGATAGGACTTTTTTTGTAAACAGATATAGTACACCTGTCACATTGGTAAAGTTTTCACAGGTAAGAAGATGGCGATGGAACGACGACGACGACGACGACGACGACGACAGTGATGGTCGATGGTGCAGGCGCCACTAATCAAAACGTCTTTAGTTCGAATTCGATTCTTCTTACGTTTTATTGTCAAATATAAACGTCCATATTATTTTTTGTATATGTTTATTTTCAAAAAATTAATGAGAAATGATCGATCGACTTTCAAAGGTTAGTTGCAAAAAATGCAATTTCGTTTCTGTCGTGGTGGTAACGTTTTCACAAATAAGAAGATGGCAGTAGAACGGCGACAGCGATGGTCGATGGTGCAGGTGCCACTAATCACAACGGACCTTAGTTCAACTTTGATTCATATATATTTTTTTTTTTTTTTTGTAAATTTTTCAAACGTTCATCTTTATTTCTTCATGTATATTTTTGAATAATCTGTGAACGATGATGATTAATCAATTTCCAAAAGCGACCTGCAAAAAGTGCAATTTCATTTCTGACTCTGGACATTGGATACGCGATAAAATCATTTCTTTATTATATAATTCGCAATGTTGACTTTTGACAATCGTATTTACTTTGAAAGAAAAGAAAATAAGAATTTAATTGTTCGTGTGCAATTTACAACGAAGTTTGAGGAAGAAATCAACAATTTTCAACGTAATCAGCTGGATATTAACAGCTTGGTGAGTAAGCTGACTTACTTTTTATATATTAGTAATAACTATTTCGTTTTTTAGTTCTTATAGTTAAGAGATTATAATAAGAAAATATTTTATAAGATATAAATGATCCCTTTTGCAATACATTTTCTTATTAAATAGCAAAAATATGAAAACGTCGTTAACTTTCAGAATATTATTCAATATTTGTTAGTATAGGATTTATCATTAAAAGTATCGTGAAAAATAAATATTTCTTTCATAAATTTCTAGAGCGTACATTTGCATATTAGGAAACGGCAATCATTGATAATTTTCAAAAAAAAAAAAAAAAAATGTAAAAATAATTAGAAGTGTGATAAAAAAATCAAGTGGAAGAGAGAATCGGTAAAAGCAATTTGATGTATTTATTCAGTCATTGGCAGAGTCATTATGCTGGCTGCTACCAGCTGCTGCTGGTGTTACTTTTACTACTCCTGTTGTCATTGCTGGTGGCCACTAGTGTGGTCGTCGAGAAAGAATCAATTCTCGTGAATATTTTATGTGAGCGCCTCCGCCCTCCCGGAAACTATCCTCGTTTAATGTCTATAACCGTAACCACTCGGCATTATCTGTTCTTTTAAATCGTCCATTGAAATACGTCCACATCATTGCTTTTTACAATGACCTACAACTATTATCTGGGAGGAAGGCCTTTTCAAGTCGATCGACTTCTCTCTGCTTCAAGGAGACTTCGATTCGAATTTATTTCATTTTCATTTAAAGAAAACTCGCAAGAGAATTGAATTTTTATAAACAAAATTCCAATAAGTTCATTGATCAAATTTAATTGTTGTTGTTTATTATTCATTTGATAAGAAAATTAAAAAAAAAGTATTTGTAATAAATATAATTTATACATGATATATAAATAATGAATCTGATTTTTAATCCCTGATGGAAGAATTTTGGCTCAACGTAATACAACGCCGGGTGCAACTTAAAGGGGGTGGGGGGTTAATCTTGTTGCTCCGTTGCAAATCAAGATAGATACAAAACAAGATAAAAGAATACAAAGAATGAAATCCTAGACGATCACGTTGAAATGAACGATGCAATTCATCCTCTTTCTCTTTCTTTCTTTCTTTCTTTCTCTCTCTTTAGAACGTACTCGCATTAGCGTCACGAACGAATGAATTAATGAGTGTGCCGAACAGAGCTTTCTCTTCGGGGTGGTCCCTCCTTGCAAGAAAAGCTTCGCGATCGTGATACGTAAATATACATAACGAATGGTAACAACGAGGGACCGTGATGATGTGGTGTTCGTTGATGATGTGTAGCAGCTAGAATGTAAGGTGTTAGTGAGTCACAACCTGACGTTCGACAGGGGGTGGGTAGAGAAAGAGTAAAAGGAGGCGGAGGAAAAAAAAATAGATGGTAGTGGTTGTTGTAGTGGTAGAAGTGATATAAATAGAAATGGAGGGTAGCAGGTGTTCAGTACTGTCGGTGCTGGTACTGACAATGGCTACTGCTGCTGCTGGCCCTGCGCTACCACACAGAGCTGCCCACGCTTAGAGAAAACGCCAGTGGGACGGATGTTCCCAGGAGATTATTGATCGTGCGCGAAGATACTTCTACTTCGACGTAGCGGACAGACTTTCACAGAGGTACTTTCATTTTTTTTTTTATTTTCTTATCTCTCTCTCTCTCCCTCTCTTTTATCCTCAATTAATAGGTACTTAAATAGTGCAATAATATACTACGATGCTTTATAATGATTACTTTGAAACTTTTCTTTAATTCATTTCTCTCATGTTAGAGAGAGAGAGAGAGAGAAAATGATTAGTTTCAACGTTAATTAGTTATGTTGCAATTGATTGAAAATCTTGATCTTGGTATCTTACAATTAATATCGTACGATCGAGAAATAAGTTGTTTGAAATTTAAAGCAAAAATTTGATCACGTTTATTTTCGTTTAAAATTTATAATTATCTGTTCATTCTCATGTAAATTTCCCGATGACGTTTACACAATTACGTTGCCTATAACATCTTCTTGAATAAGTCGCAAAACACGCAAGCACCGGGCAAATGTGACGTGCGATTGAAAACTCGAAGATTAGAGATCACAGCTGTAATAACTTTTTCCTAGACTTGTAATATAAGTTTTTTTTTTTTTTTTTTTTTTCTTTATAATAATAACTGATGCAAGCTCAAAGTTAACAATTTTATTGAAAACGAATATGAACGGTTTTAAGAATATATGTTGATATAAAAAAAAAAAAATTTGATTACATTTTTCTGCCTAGTCATCTCGTTCTACAAAAATCTGTAATAAAAACTAAACCATTATAACCATACGTATAATAGAAACTTAACTATATTTAAAATTTACAATGCTTAAGACTTTTAATTATTGCATATTATTTTTTATCTTTGTAAACATATTCGTTATCATCGAATCATCCTGATTTCAAACAACAAAATAAATAAAAAAAAGCAAAACGATTATTTGCCGATTGAAAATTGTATAAATATTAATCAAATTAATGAATAATTAATGAAATAATGGAGAAAAGATGAGGGACAAAAAAAAAATGGTGCATCTTAGGGGGGAGGATAATCTGCCATCCTTCTTTCCATTGGGAAAACGCCCAATGGAGAGAAGCAGCGCGCGCGCACATCATCCTCTCTCTCTGCGCCAGTGTCAATTTCACAAACATTGCTGAAGTGGAAGTGGTAGGGGAAGGGGGGGGGGAGGAAGACGACCAATGATGTGAGAGAGAGTCACAAAAGAATCTCCGCGTCACTCTCTCCCACTCTGTTTCTCTCTGCGGGCTAGCCACCCGATCGCTGCCTCCTGAATTCGATCAATGGAGCTGTACCAAGTTGGCCGGGTAAACGCCACACCCCCAACTATTCTATTCGGCTTGACTTATCCATCCATATTTATTCTTATCATCTATCATGGTTCCATCAAAATAGCCAGATCTTTTCTAATATTTTTCATTTGCCTTCATCCGATCCCAAGTTAATCTCATAAATGAATAATTTCGAGTAAATTACAATCGCATTTTATTACTTTGTCACATTTTTTGTTTGTGTGTAGTTTAACCCTATCGCTTCAAGCGGCGTGCACAATACGACCTGTGGGTAAGAGCGCCGCTTATAAGCGGCGTGCACATGATAAAAATATTACCTGTAGCTTTGTAAGTTATAAATGTAAGTTATATACGTTTATAAGTTATAAATGTTTTCATATCAAAAATGTTAATTTATTTACTCATTATATTGTAGCAAAGATTGTTTTATTCGGCACAATAGTAATTTAAGACTCAGGAAAACATATATACAGCAACAACGCATACTGGACGTATTCGCGGCGTGCACCTCCGTCCAGTGCAAGTACTTCGGCGGACTGGACAGCCGAAGCGAAAGGGTTAATTCATGTATAAGGTGTTTCCTTATATATACAGGGTGGGTCACCACATTTTGCCATCTAGATTTACGTTATCATTATTACGCGTAGCAAACAATGTTTAACATGGAGTTGAATGGCTTTAAAAGGGGCTCATACTGATGGTACTTTCTTTTTTTTTTTAGGTGGACGTGTCAAGGACATATGAAGGTCATTAATGTTTTTTTTTTAATGGAATCATATATTTTTTATTGCATCATCTCATGCTCTTTCATATTATTTACAAAAAAGTATTACCCTATTTATGTAAAAAAATTATTACTTTAGGAGATATTTTAATTTTTATGTCTATTTACAAAAAAGCTTCAATATGGCGACCATTTGCATCAGAACACTTTCTGAATCGAGAAATTCATGACTCATTAACGTTTCTTAATGTATCTGATGTTATTTTCTTGCATTCATTGATGATACGATCCCTYATATCGGCCATTGTAGTCGGAGGCTCAGCGTAAACTTTATTTTTTAAGTAGCCCAATAAGAAAAAGTCGAGGGGCGTTAGATTTGGTGACCTAAAAAGAAAAAAGTACCATCAGTATGAACCCCTTTTAAACCCCCCCCCCCCTTTTAAACATTGTCTGCTACGCGTAATAATGATAACGTAAATCTAGATGGTAAAATGTGGTGACCCACCCTGTATATTATACAGTATTAGTATTATTTATTATTAAGGTCGGCGATACATGTAAACGCCTAAATTTTGACCCTTTTTCAGAGGCTTATTTAAAATGGAAGGAATAAATGAATCGTTTTGAAACTCAGCATGTTTATTTATTACATATTAAAATACAAGAATCTGATTTTTTTTTCAAAATGGCCGCCGTAGTAACTAATCTCCTGAGGTCCTCGCGACGAAACGCATCAATCATGGTGATTTTTAGCTTTAGTTACAGCAATCTAAAATTTAAAAAAAG